AATAGTTGCAGAGTAAAGTGGACAAATACTAGGAGGCAGAGTGCAATTTAGCTGTGGAAATGCTAAATAGATTCAAAAGGGGTCTCATAAAAAACAAAGAAATTCATAAGAATAAATGAAACAAAATAAATTTGTATCTGTGCAATCAAGTCCAAAAAGAGCTCTACTCATTGAAAATATACCTTTCCCCTCAAAACTGCAGTGGTGTCATTATCTTTCATACAATCTTACACACTTTGATGAAATAAATATGTCCCAAAATATTTCCAGGCTCGCACTATCAAAACATGAAGCAAAGAATCACAAAATAACCTAGAGAAGCCCTCCCTCTATCTACCAAGCAGTGAAAATTCACAAACTTTCTGACCCCCCACCCACCTCCCCCACCCCTTAGGATCATAACTGGACAGATTATACCCCCACTTCCAATTCATGTTACTCTCGAGACACTCCGTGCTTTGTTTTGAAACTGCTGCCGATATCATCTTATCTCAAATGCAAAATAAATATCTCTGGATGCCTGCTATGCAATTAGTAAAAATCAAACAGCAATGATAATTAGAGGCAAGTGATAAACGCGATAAGGATAAAATGATTATGGTGGATGGTGTATATAAAGTCAAGCAACAAGAAAAGATTGGAGGGGTGGAATTCTCTGAGATTTCCTGTTGGGTTAATTGGGGATATGTTTTATCCAAAATTAATTTGATTGCCTGGCTGATTAGCTCCATATGGCAAAATAATGACTTTGGTTTTCCTTGATCTACTAAACATTACCAAATAAGTGCAATAGTGTTAATGTGTCTGACCTTGTAATTAAAACAGTAATTACTGATAGAGATAACTTCATTCAAGGTTTGAAGATTATGAAATATTTTTCATTACTACCATTTAAGTAGAAGAAATAATGCACAGTTAGTTAGTAGGCCTATGTATTGGACAGCCTGCTTCATAATAATAACATAACTGATAAAATTACATCCAAAGTGTTAAACAACAGCATCATAGTGTCCATGATAATAGTCATGATATAACTGGATATGAATTCTAATCTGCCCTACAAACATCACACATAATGTTCTATTAATATCCCTTCAATAAATACCTGTCTCCTAAACCAAGCCAGATCGTTATCTCCACACAGCAGAATTAAAAACTGCTACTCTAAGCAATTATTTCAAGAATCTAGAGATATGTAATAAATACCAACCCCTCTCTATGGCCTCCATGCATATAATCACAACTGTATATCCCATTTTCTTTCTTTTTCACCCCTCTGCTGTTTACAAAGGAGATTAAATAATTCCCCAAGGACGCCACATGTAATTTATGAAGCCCTATTTACTCTATTTTTGCCCTCCATCGCCCATGCATGATATCTAGGGGGTGGTGATGATATTATATAATAACCCCTCTAGGGTCTCGGCTAACCAAACACAAAGATTCCATTTCAAAGGTTTCTGGGTTCTCCTAACCAAAATCAAGAGAGTTTGATTTCGTAACAAATCTGGCTCTTGTTCTCTGGCCATATTTTGGAGTTGCCTGTGGTCGCTTTTGGAGTCCGCTTTCTTCACATTCATATCATGTTCCAGCTCATTAGCTGGTATCCATTATTAGGATAAATAATAAGGGGCGGAGGCGGAGGGAGAAATTTCGGGGAAGTGGCCCAACTGGCCTGCTGGTCCTGCCAAGGACAGAACAACATGATAAGGGGAGTAAGAATGCCAGATGATTTAATTCTGGACAGGTATTTGACATCAACTCTGCTGGATTTCCAATCTTTCCATTCATGTTACCAATTTTCGTGCCTTATGATGACTGACAAAGGTCGTTGACAAGGGTCAACCCAGGGTCGTTTTGAAACAAATCCAGAAATTAAAAAATAGAGAAAGAAAAGTCAATCTTAATTCACTTACTTTACATCTACTGTGACAAAAGGCAATCAAATTGGAGGGATTATTGTCATTGTTTTAATCTGCTTCTGCTAATGACAGATCCGAGATACCCATAATTCCCCACCCTATACCATGCCAGCTTCTGCTCAAGTGATATATTGAGGCACTACAAGTCAACATACAACTGACTATTTGGATTAAAATAAACTACACAGACGCACATATCTTGATCTATCCACTTTCAAAGCCCCCAAACAACACTGATATTTCAATTCATAGGTCTACAGGTTTACTGACTCACACAATTTAGACAATTGGCGCTTAGAGACTTCGGTGGTAAGCGCTTTATAAGTAACGTTTTTATTATTATTATTATTAATTACAAATGACATGTGTAATTTATACAGATATATTTCACATCTTAAAGTTTAAATACTTCTAAGTTGTTATTGAAGTAGCTATAACAACCCTCTTTCCAAAATCAAGTAAAAACTATTGTTTATGTCAGATTTTAGGATGTACTTATCAAAATCAAATTGTAAAAAATATGTATATTTCACAGAAAACATTGGGAAAATGCACAATATCTTGACATTCTCAGCCAGCATTGGTTTTTCTCTCTGTACAATAAATACAAAAAAAACAAATGAATTCTAATTCTTAAACATTAGAATTGTGGAGCTACATCAGGAAGACATGTAACCAAGAATGAAGACATATAACCAAGAAGCAATCATCATGTTGAGTTTAGCAGGATTTATTTATTTTACCATTCAAAATGGCCATTCATCAGCTAGTCTAGGCATATTCCTGGCATGGTTGGGAGTAAGAAGTACTAATATTTGTGTTTATGGATCATTGGTTTGAGTTATTGCTCTCAAAATGTTCATAAAACTACATGATGAGTGATGAAATAAGAAAAAAACATATAACCTGAGACGGAGGAAAGGGAAATGAATAGGAATAAACAGCAGTGGAGAGAGAGAGAGAGGGGGGACAGAGGGAAAGAGAGAGAGAGAGCGAGTGTGAGAGAGAGGGAGGGATGGATTATAGAGAGAGAGAGAGAGAGAGAGACAGGGAGACAGAGAGAGAGAGTGGTAAAGAGAGAGAGAGAGCGAGAGGGGGGGGGGGAGGGGGGAGTAGGAGAGCATATAATATAACGAAAATTTGAGAAAGACAAACAAAGGGAAACAGAGATAGTGAGAGAGCCAAAGAAAGAGAGAGAGGGGGAGAGAGCGAGAGAGAGAGAGAGAGAGAGAGAGGGGGGGGGGGGGAGTAAGAGAAGATATAAAGAAAGTTTGACTTTGAGAAAGACAGAGAGGGAGAGAGAGGAAAACAGAGAGATATACAGAAAGAGGGATTTGAAAAGTTTCTATCTTCACATATTACTAAGAATCATACAAAACATCATGCATAATTACTCTTTTTGTTTAATCTAAAAAAATGTTCTCAGAAGCAATTAAATAGTTAAGGGCATATTACTTTTTCTTTGGTTGGGGTCCATCTTCAGCAGTTAGTACCATAACAGTACTTTATACATTGAAAGGTTCGAATTTCTTCCAACCTTTACTACACCTGGGTTGACACCAGCAACAGTACATAAAATGCCTTGTCAAGTACTGAGTGAGTATTGAACCCAAAATTTAGTGATTGAGAGTCAAGGCACAAACCTCAGTTCCACGTGCCAAGGAATTCAAGAACAAGTTCATTCAGAAATAAATGCATAACTGGATAAATGCAGAAATTAAATACACTCATAAATACAGAGTATAAAATACTAAGGTTACTAAGGTTGGAAAGATTATGGTAATGTGCTATCACTTGCGAGCAAAAGAATCGTACCAATTATGCCACCATTATACATGACAAGACATATCTCGTCCTTGAGATTATTAAACCTAGTTGCCCTTTCATTCACAACTCTTCCTTAACAATTCAATGCAAATAAGAAATTAAAAAACAAAAAAATGGGAACAGCTACTTTGAGGTTTACACCTGCCCCGGGGGCAAAGAGGTGTAACAAAAGACCGATGACACCCTCCCATCAAAATATATTCATCGAATCTTGGTAAATGGATTAAAAACATCCCGGGAGAGCAGTCGATATTTCTTTCCCCTTTTCTGGTCACAGGATGGAGAGGAGAAGGGATGAGAGAGAGAGAGGGAGAGAGAGAGAGAGAAAAGGAGGGCGTGAGAGAGGGGGGGGGGGGGGAGAGAGGGGGAGAGGGAGAGAAAGGGATAGAGAGAGAGAGAGAGATGGAGAGAGAGAGAGAGAGAGAGAGAGAGATGGACGGACTCTTGAGTGGAAAATGAATAAAGGTGAGTCATCGATAGATCACTGTCAATCGGTGTCAGTTGATAGAAGTCTTAAAATTGGCAATGGTTTTATTACTTGTTGATGAACTTAAGCTGTATTTACATGCGTTTATTTAAGAGAACTACACGCGAAGGAGTGGTTTTGCGGTTTTGCGTAATGGCAAGGGACGTCAAATACTATTTCAGAACAGCAGACTGAGCATATATGTAATTGTGATTAATTAGAAGCAGCATTAATGTTGAATTGTGATTAATGGAAAAAGACAAACTTTATGAAAGGTACACACACAAACAAAACTTTTCATTTTTTATCAGTAAAAGTGAAGAAAAGAACAAGTAAGAGGTGAGAAGCCTGACTTGTTTCAAATAAAGTTGTATTAAAATATATTGTCTTTTTTTACACAGTTTATTCCAGTACACATTGTTTTAGAAGATGTCTATGTCCAAAAGACAAAAACTTCACTCCCTAATTACCAAGATAACTACCACTCCTGAATATTCTATAAACTGAAATACCGCAAAAATAGAAATATTCATGGCATACTGTTTTCTGTGACAAATCATAATTTTTAATGAAGTTCATCTATATGATTATCTCATGAGAGATTAAAGAAAGATTACAAATGGTTACAGCTCACACACTGAGAAATGACCCATTTTTGGGAGGGGGAGAGAAGGAGAGGTGACGGAAAGGGGAGGGGGGGGGGGGTAGAGAGAGGGGTATAACTTAGTTAGCTAGGCTATAACTTATATGGTATTACACAATGGCATGATAACTTGGTATTGGTACACTTGTAGATCCGTGAAATAAGACATCTCTCTCGTAAGACAGCTGATACCTTTTGTAGAAAAATCAAGATTAACTCAGTGAAGGCCTGGTGGTTTGGTGCTAACTGGCAAGTCCCTCAGTTCAAATCCCTGTGTGCTCTCCATCAAGTATTGGAGAAGACTCCTTGCAAGAGGGCTGCAAAATACCCCAGATAGTCTGAAAAGAGCAAATGAAATAAGCAAACATTAAAGTTTTTACAAATACAGTAATAATAAATAAATAGAAAAATCATTGTGGTTTAAAGGTAAAGACCAGTTATGGTCATGCGATTGCATTGTGAAAGAAACGTTGTGGAATGGATCAGAAAAGGTTGATCATCTAGCATCTAGCATCTGCAAGGTTCTGGAATCATCAAAATGATAAGAAATTTGGCCCATTCTTTGTAAAGTTACAAGCACTATACACAGAAAGATGTATATGGGACTACCCTATATCTCTCACTGACCATGAGAGAAACAAATTTACTGAATATATCAATTAGTAGGCGGTTTCCCGGCAAATTTTTTATCATCATGTATTAGTCAAAACATATTCTTTCACATGATTGGTAATGAGAGCTTCCATTTCATTTTTTGAAATTGGGGCGTTTCCAATACTGGTCTTTACCTTTAAGCAACAAGGAAATGTCAATCAATCACAAGGCAATTTCATTCATTTCTATGTTTCTTTAAATAAATTGTGTCACAACTGACATATTTGCAAGACATCGCAGATTGGAATTAAATAATTAAAGAACGTAGAGTTGTTTGGATAAACATTATTGCAGCATTTTAATCGAAGTCCTTGGCTCCTGACCAATCTTGCAACATCCTTAAAAGTGACAAATTACAGGTGCCACAAAATTGAGAGAAATGTTAGATAATGTTTAACCTTGGGGTCACTTCGCTAAAAATTCTTACAACATTCTTCTATCTCTGGTGATTCTTTTGGCATGAGCAGGTGATATTAGTCAGGGAGGAACATAATTTTGACTATAACATAGAATAAGAGGAAAATGGGGAGAAAAAGTACAATTTTTGTTGAAGGAAGAGGAGGGTTGTTGAAAGATCATACCCTTTAGTTACTAACTTTATCCTTGAAGAGCTCTTGACTTGAGCTATTGCCAAGAGAATGATTTATTTTTTAATAAGAAGAAGGGCCATTCTCTAAAAAGAATACACAAATTTGATGACATGCACAAGGTAGATATCGTAACGATTTTTGTGGAAGAAGTTTCCTCATTAACTTTGAGATGTGAAATAACTGGAATATACAGTTGACGATCAGCCATGCATGAAGAGAGAGAGTACCCAGAAAACATTTGGCGAATGGTATCTGAATTTCAAAGAGAAAATCACTTTAAAAAAAATACTGATCAAGAGCACTAAAACAAAAACACCCTCTTTAGCCTCCCTCCCCCACCCCAAAACAGAAGTGTCAAAAGATAACATACTTTACATGGGAATTGAGAATGACATTATTTTTAAATCAAATCCTGTTTTGTGTCATAAATGTAATTAAGAATGACCCATGCAAAGCACAGCATTACTAAACTAATGAAAATGGGAGAATTTACACTTGACCCTTAATTATAACCTCCATGAAAAAATCCTGCTTCAATGATGGTCACACATCAGAGAAAGGTTAGAATGAAGGCAATTGTCATGGAAATGAAAATAAATGATTTGAAGCAGAAATTAATGTAAAATCTCCAACCATTTAAATTTGACATGAAGCATGGACACATTGGTGACAACAGACGATCAAAGACATATGGGTGCCATGAAATTGATTCACAAAAACAAGAAAGAAGATTGAAATGACAGTCATCATACACACATCCTTCAGAAGAATTAGAAATGATAATCAGTTACATAACAGCCGAAACCTTGGCTTGACCAGTTGCTATGGGTCATCTGTGTGGACAATATGTTACCACACCAACTGGTCATTTCATAAACTGATTTGCTGAGTGAAGAAATGCCAAGTGTGGCCGATGAGTGAGAAAAAATGCCTGACTCATCACTTATAACTTGCATTCTTGGAGAAGCTCTATTGCATCTTCATATCTTTGAATTAACTTTACTGACTGCAGTCAGATTGAAACTGATTTATCTTATTTTTTGCAGAAGTATTTAAAGTTATGTTACATTAAAAGTATTGTTCTATTTGCAGGTCAAAAAAATGAAAAAGGTTAAATTAAAATACTTATTAAGAACTTCCCTCAAAACGAAAGGGTTTAATAATGGCTTTTTATGGGAAAATAACGACCATTGGTTGTGAAGTTAATATTAGTTGTAAAGTTAATATTTGTCTACTACTACTAGTATGTGTTAATCAAGAAAAATGCTGATATTTTGTAAGTAATTGCATATTAACATATACAACTCATGAGCTTTCTTCTTTTGTGTCTCTTCTTTTCAATTGTAACCACAATATTTGCTTTAAAATGAGACCCCTGCATGCCTTGTCATGACTAAATAGCCATGCCATGACCATAATTTGGCAAATTACCACGAGACACTTGATGGTCAGACAAATCGGAGAAACTGGTTGACCCGTCTTTATTTGAGAAAGATGAGAAAGAGATAAGAAAGATGTTATGAAACAAAGTATTTCCTGATGCGTGATGATTCGATGTTTGACGTTGGTATGATAATAGTTTTGGAGAGGCGGGGTTTTGACAGCGCTAACAGCTGACCGTTTATCTCTAAATATATTTCTTAAGAAAAAGAAAAGGAGAGGTGGAGAGAGAGGGAGGGTCATGGACAGGGAAGGAAATGACAATTACTTTTTCTGCATTTTCTTTGATTGCATTGTGAAATTTTTAATTACACCCAGCATATGTTTGTCACACTTCATTCAAAGGTTCACAGCACAAAAGCAATCAGCTGACAGATGTAATTACTGCTCTTCACTTTGATTTGTTTTAATGATGATCGGAATGTTACCCAGATATATCGAGTTAGATTTGCATGTTTGACATGAAGTTCATCTCCATTCAAAATGAAAAAACAAAAAAACAAATACAGTGCGTCCAAGAAAAAATGAAACCAAGAATTATCGATGTTTTATCATAACTTAATCACAATTATAATTAATAAATGACACATATTTGTAAAGCTTAGATCCTCCTCTTGCATTTGATGCAACTCGTATGATGTATATTTCTCGCATGAGTGATTGAAAACAATATGAAGAAAGAGTACCAAAAAGTCATTTGGCGAACGGTATCTCAATTTCAAAGAGAAAATCACATTTCCAGAAAGATCATTTTATGCCCTTTCATATAACACCTCAATCAGGAAAAATGAGCCAGGAACAACAAAGTTCTGTTTGTTTAAAGTAACGCTTGCATTTCCATAATTTTATTAAAGGAATCCGTTCCACTGGCTGCCTGCCGTAACAACAAACAAAGAAGATGAAAGACTTCATGCATGGCTGATCGTCACAAAAACAAAGTTAAGTCTTTTGTCAACTCTTTTTGTTGATATGGCAGCCAGCCAGCCAGTGAAATTCATTTAATAAAATCATGGAAATGCAAGCATTACTTTAAACAAACAGAACTTTTTTTTTATTCCTGGCTCATTTTTCCTGATTGAGGTGTCATATGAACTTTCTTGAAATGTGATTTTTTTCTTTGAAATTCATATACCGTTCGCCAAATGACTTTTTGGTACTATTTCTACAAATAGTTTTTAATCACTCATGCATGAAATATGCATCATATGTGTTGCATCAAATAAAAGAGGGGGATCTAAGCTTTACAAATATATGTCATTTATTAATTACAATTGTGATTAAGTTGTGATAAAACAACTATAATTCTCTGTTTCACTTTTCCTGGGACACACTGTATAGTTATATTTATTTTAAAAAAATGTATCAAGAGTCCATAATATCTTTTTCTTTGAGCAATGACTATGTCACTAGTATTTACTCTCATACTGCGGATAAACCTACTAGCGCTATTGGACACTTTAAAATTGCAACAATATTGGCATCATCTTCAATAAGATTATTTGAGAGGGGGTGTAAATTATCGCCCCTGACAGGGTGTCACTTCCTCCTCGGAAACCAGCTCGTCAGAGTAGAACAATCCAACTCCTTCCAAAACTAGGAGCCCCCTTCCGCCCCCCTCGACAACTTGCACATGAATATCAAGAACACATTCCAGATACTCATATTTTCCATCCAACCCAATTTGTCTCTTATTAATCACTATTCGTCCCTGCATCAGCCGTAATCGACATCACTGCCACACACAATGCCCTGCGCATGATTTCTTTTAATTCCTCGCAATTAGCCAGCTGTCAAAAACATCACGTCTCTCGACTTGGCTCTTTGGTTTGGGAGAGGGGCTATGGTGTGGGGGGGCTCTCAGGAAGCCGCCGGGTTTGAATATCAACAAGAACGAACAACCCACATCATCACAAAAATTAGGAGATGTGCGCTCTTCAAACATGACAATTCAATAACCAATGTCGGGTAGGCTTTGCTTGGGACTGATATCTCATTATGCTTTATGACAGCTTGATGGATGGGCTCTATGTATCTTGGTCCTATCGCTGTACTCCGAAATGAAAATGGAGATTGGGAGGCAGGAAGACCAGCGTGATTGAGATAAAGAAAGATTTGACACTCTCAGGGTTTAATATCAAATTGCTTCAATTGATTTTACATACAGGAGTTAAGTCGACCCACTCAACTGTCCAACTGAAAGCATTGCTGGAAAGTGATCCCTTGTTTTTTTTCTATCTCAAGATATGTACCCACTGTAAGCCGGGATAAACTCCATCAAAATCAATAACGCATTTGTTTGTTTAATAATGACATCTGAAAGTCCTAACAAACTTTTAAAATTATAACTTTACTCATGGAATTACATACTGAAAGGGTAAAACTTAATTCAACAAGGCAGAAATTTATTCAAAACCAAGCCCGATAAAATTGGCTGTAAACTTATAACAAAGAAATGATAACCGCTTATTATTGATTTATCAATAATAATAATAATAATAATAATCTGGATTTATATAACCCTTAATACAAAATACTGTGTCTAAGCACTTTACAGATATCATTATGCAGGCTGTGCACCATCTCCACACCATTGGGAGTATTCCTAGATCTTACCATATGGTCACTGTGAGTGCATAAGGCAGTTATTAACACAA